ACATATTGTTTTCTATTTCGTTGGTAAACTAAGTTATTAATGTTGTAATGTGGACGGTAGCGTGTACTTACTGATAGAAACCAAAAAAATAAAAGCGATGAAGAATTATATTATAGAAGATTTTGATTTGCTGCCACCAGGCAAGTTACGTACTTGGCCGAACGGTTTAAGAAATTAATGAAGTAGATTTATATGGAGGGTGGTTACGTAGCCCTTGTGTTGAAATGGGAATAAAACGAAACAAGAATTTAAAAAAAATTAAAACTGATATATTAAATTAAGAGAATTATAATAATAAAAAAATATGTAAATAAAATGAAATTGTATAGTTAAAATTATAAAAAAAAATGTGAGACAAGCCAATTAAACAGAAGTATTAAAATGAAGACAGGTTGAACAATTTTGGTTTACGGATAATAAAAAAAAAATACTTAGTCCTGACTTTTAACAAGGAATCAAATAGAAACAATGATCCTTACTGTAGGGTTTGCAGATTGAGATAAAAGTTTTTAACTTAAAATTTGACGTTATGACTTAACCAGCAATAACCATAAATATTAGTAAAAGAAAATAATGATAACAATTAATCTTACATTTCTATGTCTCGACAACGTTCTCCATTAAAGATTAGACGCTTCGGGAATCTGGCTTCAAGGCACCATAGAAATATGGAGTGAACTCAAGGGAAGTCTCTAGCTTCTATCCTCCTTGGTAGTTGGTACTCGACTCCTCGAGTCAATCTCGGTCGCGCACCAACAGCTCAGGCGATAGCGCTGACTTAAGCCAAATAATTACATAGAACGCAATTTAATGTACAGGGTGGTTTGTTACAAAAATGTAAAAGATCCATAATATCTTTCTTACGTACACCAAGCCTTTCAGCTTTGGCCCTATACTCTAACCAAGAATTTACGCATGCTAAATCAATAGAATGTGTAAACATCCGAAGTGTCCATTTACGTGATCGTATTTTAGTGCGATAAATACTGATTAAAAAATCCATTTTATCCACTCCACCCATGTTTATACTATAATTTTTTATGACTTCTGGGCGAGGAACTTCCACGTACTCTTTTCTCCGTTTATCCCACCTCTTGCAGGTTTCGGTATTACCCACAGTCATAAAGTTCGATGCCATTATTACACTCTTATTATCAAACCATTTGGTAAGAATTACCTCACCATCGTTATTCAAAACTTCCTCCGAAGTACCTCGTCCTTTTTGTTTCATTTCGGCGTCAGTAGAAAAAGGGGGCTTGTGAAAGCGGTCAATTCTTGCAGTTCCAGCAGCATGTATATATCTGTGCTTCAAATACTGCAGCAGCTGATAGTTTGAAAAAAAATTATCAAAATATAGTTGCACGTTTACTTCTTGTATTCGTTCAGACAGCTTGAGCACTGCGGAGGCTCCCACACCAAAGATTTCAACTTGATCAGAATTGAACTCTGTTGTAGTCCCCTGATAGATTATGAAGTCATACATAACACCACTTGCTCCACATAATGCGTAAATTTTTACCCCCCAAGGACTGGGCTTATTTTTCACGTATTGCTTTTTAACCTTTTAACCTTCCTTTGAAAGGAACCATCTGTTCATCAATACTCAACTTGGTTTCCAGTGGCAATTGTAACATTCGTTTCCGAATTGTATCGTAGAGTGGTCGTATTTTCTAAAATCTATCTTTACATTCAGGTGGTTTTTCTTCTACGTTCACAAAATGTAAGAATGACCTCAATTTGTGAAATCTATCACGAGGCATTGCATCGGCGATAGTTGGGATACGTAGTTTATTTTCCCAGTAACACTTAAGTCTTGGATAGGGCAAGTTCCCCATCAAAATATGCATGACAACAAATACTTCTAATTCATTTTGAGTTGTTGCTGCAAATCGTGCGTGTTGCTGAACTGCAAAGAGGTTCGTATTGACTGTCATAAGTTCAATCAAATCTTTTGTAAAATATTGTCTAAAGAAATACAGAGGACTTTCTAGCTCAATATCTGCTGGAATAGGAGGTGTGTACCAATTTATTTCTGGTGTTATATACGTCACATTCTTACGCCAGCCAATTTTTGTGGGTGGAGTTAGTTCATTATTTTCATAATAAATATTTTTTTTGATAGTGCGCTGAGCGGAAATCTAATGGCAACTTTTTAATCGAGCGATTTTTAAGTTGGTCAACAATAAAGTCGCGAGTGCGCGCCTGGCCTTAATCATGTTTCTATGTGAAATACGCCACTGTGCGACGTCCAGTTTACTGGACGCGTTTGCTAATGCATTTAATTGGTGCTTTAGTATTATAGTATTTTCTCATGTTTGAAATACGAATACGGGGAATACCTTTGCATGTGCATTTATTAGTATACCCAGTTCTTGTTCTTTACTGCTGTGTTTAGTTAGTTGTAGTCGTATTTCTTGTCAAAGTAGCTCAATAACACTTTTTTCATACATATACAATAAAATATTAAAGCCAACTTTGGTTAGATACTTGAAGTAGATATATTTCTATTAACCTCAAAAAGAGAACTTTAAAAAAGTGTGTTGTTCTATATTTATAGCCGAGGTGATTTGCGGCCGAGGCAGTGTCTCAGTGACATATTTTCTCAGTCATGAGTGACAAAATATCAAAGCCATCGTCCAAAAACAACTGATTTTAGAATGTTTGATGCTCAGCCAAGTGGATATATTTCTAAATTAATTCCAAAAAGAGAATTTTGAAAAAGTTTGCAACCGTAGTAATGATTTTGGTTTGTATAGCACATGACGTTGTATTTAGAAAAAGAAAATGGAGACTTTNCTCTTTGTCCCAAGATACAGTTTTTTACGCTCTACAATTAAAAAAAAAATTATCGAAATCGGATAATAAATACAAATTTTACGAGGGTGTTCCGCTTTCAAACGGGTCACACTGTATACAATAAAATATTAAAGCCAACTTTGGTTAGATACTTGAAGTAGATATATTTCTATTAACCTCAGAAAGAGAACTTTAAAAAAGTGTGTTGTTCTATATTTATAGCCGAGGTGATTTGCGGCCGAGGCAGTGTCTCAGTGACATATTTTCTCAGTTATGAGTGACAAAATATCAAAGTCATCGTCCAAAAACAACTGATTTTAGAATTTTTGATGCTCAGCCAAGTGGATATATTTCTAAATTAATTCCAAAAAGAGAATTTTGAAAAAGTTTGCAACCGTAGTAATGATTTTGGTTTGTATAGCACATGACGTTGTATTTAGAAAAAGAAAATGGAGACTTTGAAGAAATTCCAAAGTGTGTCCAGTAAACTGGACTAGGTCTTTTTTTACAAAAATGTCATATACAATAACCCAACAGAAAAAACTACTGTAGAAAGCGCGGTAGCGAATGTGTTAAAAATGTTCATGGGTAGTTTCCCCTGCACCTAAAAAAATTATTATAAAGGTAATTAATGATCAAAGGCTTTTGCCGTTGCTTTCTTGTTAAAAAAAAAATATTAAACGTAAAATTAAATTTAATCCCCTAAAATAAATCCTTAAATTTTAATTAATTAAAACATTTAAAATCTACTTTTTTGTCAACATCCGTCCACAATCCTTTCAAATCTAGGGGATTTTTGGTTTAATTTTACTTAAAAAAACGCGTTTGCAACTTTTAAAACACTATATAAGAAAAAGAAATCGTTATTAACCTTATGGCAATCATTATTGCTCACGTTAATCTTGTTGTTAGCGCCTCGTTAAAAAATATATTATGAGTTTTAAGAGATTTTATAATATGTATTGTGTAGAGAGATGCTAAAAGTTACTTAATCGAAGTTACAATCATTTTTCTAAAAAGCTTTAGCGCGAAATATCACTTAATAAAGCTTTTTCGTTTTCGAATCTCTTCCGAAATCGAGTTTTCTACCGCCAAATCAAAAATGATTGATTTTAAATTTTTATTTGGGAAAAAAATTGTTTTAATTTTTTTTTGTTATAAACAATCATTTTTGAATTTGTCGTGTTATAAAAGAAAAATAGTACGCTTCCATTTTTTAAGAAATACTCTTAAGTGTTGGTGTACAAAGATGAGTCAAAAACATGAGCTTTTTTAACTATGGTGTGTTCGTAAAGTGATGGTGCACTTTCAACTCAACCAATTACAGGTTACAGGAAAGGAAGGAAGCAAGATAGAAATGTGAAATCTTCACCAAATAAAAGGAAAACTCTTGCATTTTTAAACTGCACTCTTTATCATCAAGCTCGTTGCCTTGACAATTCATCTTTAAGAATCCGTTTTCAACCGTGTAATGGTCAAAATCTGCGTTGCTTGGTGAATATTAATTCTTAGTACCTTAATTTTGCTTCCACTGTGATTTTCATTAGTGTTTTTGCACCATGACTTTACGGACACTAAAAAAGAACTATTAAGTACGTCAATAAGGTGTTTTTATATTTTAATTTTTTTGTAATGAAACGAATGTTAAATAATTAATTTTGTTATGAAAGTGCCAATAATTGGGTTTTAAAATACGTATAAAAAAATGAAAATATCAACAAAAAGAAACTGTATGGGGTGATTTAATTTGGTTCACCTGTATTAAAAGAAATATCAAAGCCGAAGAACAAAATCAAAAAAGAAACTCGGTGTAAATTAGTGCTTAAGTGTTATAATTTTTTACTTAGTAGACTGTAGAAGGCTGTGAATTATGTAATTTATGTAAAAGGTGTAACGCAAATTTTAATGTAAAACCGAAAAAATGGCCGCTATAAATGTAAAAAAAGAGAAGATACAAAAAAAAACAATAATACACTTGAAGTGATTGTTAAAGTTATTTACCTCAATAAAAAAGAAAATTTTAAATTTTTTTATTTAAATATGTAGTTTCCTGTAAAATAAATTATTAATAATTTCGTTTCGGTGGAACGTCTAATTGACGTTTAATTGATTTAATATCTCAAAATTTTTTATAAGTTATAAGAAAATTTCAGTTTAAAAAGATGTGACAAAAAATATATAAATTTAAACGTACAGCAACATCCATGAATGAAAAAGTAAAGAGTTTTCTTTTCGATTTCGGAGTGAGCGGATCGGCCGCGGTCGTTTCCAAAACGTTAATAGCTCCGGTCGAACGTGCAAAATTTATAATTCAAAATCAAGATTATGCCTTAGATGTAATGACTGGCAAACAAAAACCATACAGTGGCCTTATCGACTTGTTTACACGCATACCCAAGGAACAAGGAATATTAAGTTTATGGCGAGGGAATGGAACTAATATAGCAAGATATTTCCCATCTCAAGCTTTAAATTTTTCGCTATATAATACGTACAAAAATTTTTTCACGTCTTGTGTATCAGGTGATCATTATATGAATTTGCTTATGTGTAAATTATTTGCTGGGGGTTTGGCCGGAGCTTGTTCTGCCGCGCTCGTGTTTCCGTTAGATTTTTGTCAAACTCGATTAGCTTTGGATATGGGACATGGAAAGCACAAAGCGGGATCAACTCCAACTGCTAATCAAAAAACAAAACCAAGAGAATTTAATGGAATGTTTAGCTGTTTTTATAAGATATCACAAAAAGATGGCGTTCTAGGTCTTTATAGAGGTGTTCATTTATCCGTTATTGGTTTTGGAATTTATAGAGCTTTTTACTTTGCTTTATACGAAATGAGTAAATTGCTTTATCACGACAAACATTACAAAACTAATTCAAACGATAAATCGGAAAAGATGCCGCTACTTCTCTCGCTGCTTTCGGCGCAGATTTGTACAATTGCGGCTGGGATGGCTTCGTATCCTTTGGACACAATGGCCAGGCACATGATGTTAGATGCGGGGAGGCCTATGAATTTAAGGAAAAATAAAACGATGGTCATAACGGCACAAAGAATTTGGAAAAAATACGGGATATATGGATTTTTTAGAGGTGCTTTTGTTAATGCAATGAGATGTACCGCTGGAGCTTTAGTGCTGGTTATGTACGATGAATTTGTGTATTATACCTACAAGTGGAAAATGATTAAAAAATGATTTTTATTAAAATATTGTCATCAAAATAATTAGTCTTCTTTATTTAATAATGGTATTATTTATTTGTGTACAGGTGTCCAAATTTCGATGGGTTTGTAGGGTATCTCAGTTATTATGAAAGATAGAAAGTTGCGGCTTTCGCGAACCTGAGCTACTTTTTTGTGAAACTTACAATGGCGCAAACCAAATTTTCATAGCCCTCTTCGTTTTTGATATACAGGGAGTGTTTCAAAATTTACGATTTTCAGACACCTCCTGTATGTTGG